CCCTTCCCCTCCCCTCCCTTCCCCTGCCCTCCCCCCTCCTTCCTAGGTCAGATTCCATCCTCTTCTTTGGGAAGTGTCCCTCTTCCAAATGAAGCTGTCAATTAACCTGACTACAGGTAGGCACAAGACCTCAGGCCACTGGAAATGTGATTGGTTCAGAACTGGTCCTGTAACTCAGTCAGAGCTAAGGAGAGTTATGTTGCAGAATGGATGCTGAGAGTATTTAGTACTATTAGGAGCTGTAATGATGATGTCATCTCAGCGATGTCTGGGACAGTGATGTGGGAAGATGTTGGCTGGGAAAGGAGCAGTGTGGGATCTCTGCAGATCAACGGTGCCCCCATGCAGCCATGCCTGAAGACAGCACACCATAAGGGCATCTCCTTTATATACCATATTCTCTTTGCCTCTTGCACCATAAAGAATACTAACTTAAGATTTTAATTTTGTAGTGGTGTACATCTGTGACCTCAGAATTTGGGAGGCTGAGGTACTAGAATCTCAAGGTTGAGGCTAACCTGGGCTATAAAGCAAGACCCTCTCAAAAAACATATAGAAAAAAATTAAAAATAGTTCCGAATACTGATGCTTAATTAAACTTTTGTCAAATAGGAACTCCTGCGCGAGAATAGTAATGAGCTGTACTAGGTATCGAATGGGACCCAGAAAGCTACAGGGAAGACGTAAGAAGGTCACATGGGCAGGTTCTATTTGGGGGTACCTTGTTAGCTGTAGGCTCAGATTATAAAAAGTGACCAGTTCATGCCTTTGCCCAGCAGAGGGAGCCATTGTTGGCATAATGTAGTTAGTCCAGAGACTGCCAAACTTTATGAAAGGTTCTCCTGTGATTATTGTTAAAATAAAGATTCTGATTTCTTGTGCACAGAGGGGGTCTAAGACTCTGCATTTGTAAGAAGCTCCCAAATGATGCTGAGCCTCTGGCCCCATGGTGGGTGGCAAAGCCAAGACCCTGTCAGTGATTAAGAGCGTTGCTTTTGTGCAGGACCTCGCTGTTGGCCTTAGCTGCCTCTACTGTGAAATACCGATGAGAGCTCTGCTTTGTGAGGGAGGAGTCCATGAAATAATGCCTCTAAGTTGCTCAGTACAGTGGAAGTTCAACAAATACCACTGCTGTTGTATTTCTTATATTCCTGGCAGTATTTATCAAAAGATGGCATCTCAGGCCCCCACATTAGAGTCCCCTGTACTCAAAATGTAGATCTCTGGATCTACCAGAGACCTCTGGAAGCAAGTCTCCTAGAGATGGAGTCCAGTAGGCAGCATTTTCAACAGGCAATGCAGAGAAACCCGAGGTGTGAAGCTCAGAACCACATGTCTAAGGGGGAGGAGCAGATAGACTCATTCATAGACGAATAGGAAAAGTGAAAGACAGATTGTCAGGCCAGCATCATGATGCTTGACAGTAGCCCTGTCTGGGAGGAACATGATCCACCCACATTCGCTCCTCAGCAGGTTACAGATAAAAATGAAAGATGTGGAGAGGGGGGCTTACCTTCCTTATGAAACTCGCACCTCCAGGCCAGTACCAGAGGACGGAGTGCACTTCCCACAGTAACCACCACATTTCCCTATGACTCTGGTTCCATCCTGCAAAAACATGCATCATATTAGACCACTTGCTAACCTATTGCTTTCAGGACTTGCAATAGCTTTGAGGGGAATTATTACATAATTTAAACAAAACCAAACATACTCATCCTGGTCTGATTGCATAGGTCAGCAAACTACGCTCACTGGGTCATCCAGACCACTATTTGTTTCTGGTGATCTAAGATCTAAAAGCTAGAATGGTTCTACTGTTTTGTTTGAGACACAGCAGGGGTTTTGCTATGTACCCCAGGCTGGCCTAGAACTCACAAACCTCCTACTTTAGCCTCCCAGGTGTTGGGATTATAGGCATACATCGTCACGACTGGCTGGTTCGGATTGAGGAAAAGCAAACTAAGAGTAGTATTTCCTGACAATGAAAATTGTATGAAATCCAAATTCTGGCACAGCCAGATTCACTCACATATCTAAAGCCTATGGCTGCTTTCATGTTGCAATATCGGAAATGAGCAGCTGGCTACGGTTTTTGTAGCCTCACACTGCTGCTCAGTGCACCACAAACCCCAGCAGCACAACTGTAACTTGACAGTGTTTGAGTGGGAGCGTACTGCTAGATCACAACATTTGAATTATTTTCTTACTACCAATTGTGATGGTTCATCAGCATTGTCAACCTGATTTGACTTTAGAATCATGTAGGAAACGTAGGATGTGTATGTGAGGTCAATTCCTGAGAGCTCAGAGCAGGGGCACCCATTCTAAATGTGGGCTTAGTGCTCAGAGGGGTAAAAGAATCAGGAAATCAGAGTGAGCCCCACCATTTGCTTTTCTTCTGACTGGGAGATGCAGTGCGACTGCTGCTTCGCCCCACACTCGTGCCACCGTGCCTTCACATCGTGATGTATTGTATCTTTAAACTGTGAGCCAGAATGAACTTTCCTCCCATAAGTTGCCTTTGTTGTCACGGTAATGAGAAGAATAATCAACGCGTAGTCATATACCATTGTGATAAATGAAGACAGAATGGTGAGTTTTAAAGTTGGTACTTCTAGGGTGTAAGAGCATGTGGATTATTCTCTAATCAATTTTAGGTAACAAAGTACTGTGTTTATTACACAGTGACACTGTATCTACACTAAAAGTAAAATGCACACCAACATCACGATACTAAACACTCGTCACAATAGTTTTAACTTGTAAGAAAGCAGTGGTCAAAATGTAGAAAATTTAAAATAGAATATTAGCATCATTTGTTCACACACACACACACACACACACACACACACCATGAGAATAAGTATGCTCCAAATGGTTCATTTGTTAGGAAAGCAAGAAAAATACTTTTCCCATTAATTAAAGTTTGTTTAACTGCAAGATCCTTTTGGCAAGAAGGGGTGATCAAAAAATGTTGACAACGAAAGCCAGATCAACAGTCAGTTAAAAACAAGGCAAATCACTTTGAGTAATTTTTCTTTGGCTCTTGATGAGTCAACAGATTTGCTGTCTGTGTGTTGTTTATTTGAGGAGACAATATTCAGTCTGGAGTAACTAGAATGAACTTCTATGCGTTGCCTATGTGGAATAGACTCAGATGCAAACAGTTCCAGGTGGTTGAGAAAGACGTGCAGTAGGACAAATGAAGTGGACACTTTTTTCCCCAGAAACACTGATTCTTTTTATTTCTTCCGAAAGGAAATAAAGGCAGACTCTTGGCCCACCCCACCCACCTGACTTCTGCCACACCCCAAAAGTGGAGTGTAGGTGGTGGGTAACAGGGTCAGTGTCCTAAAAAGGAGGCCCTTCCTCCAACCTTCCCTTTCCTCCAGGTGGCAAGGTTAGAACAAAATTAACTCTGTAGTTCCTCTCCTGGCTCTGATTGGACACAAGGCCAAGAGGAAGTGAGGGCAGGAGAGGGAAAAGCCCTCCCTCCCAGGCAGAGAAACTGCCCTGACTGGTTAGGGGGAGGGGTGGAGGTAGGTTTGGGGGCAGAGGGGAAGCCCTGGGAATCTTTTTCCCTTTAACCTGACATATTTATATATTTATAAATATAAATATATTTATATATTTATATTTATATATGATAAAAGGACAAGGGGAGGCGTGAGGATGGAGGATGGTTAGGTGACATTGGTTCTTTGAAGGCAGGGAAATGAAAGCCAATTAGCTAGCATCCCCATCCAGGTCACATTTTCCTGTCTTCCAGCTTCTAAAGCCTTGGCTGGGAAGGATAAAGAGGTGAAGGAAGGGAATGTTTGAATGACAGGCTGGAGCCCATAGCCCCCTCTAAAGAAGGTGAGTCAGCAGAGGGTTCCCACCAAGAGAAGGGGTTTGGAGGATGTGGGAGCAGTTCTCAAGCTCTGTCTGTTGTCCTGGCTCCCCATCTCCACAGGGCTCCTGGCTGGCTGGCGGAGGTGAGGGGGTAGGCTATGCTAGGCCCATCTCCCCCAGGACACTGTGTGGCGACTCAACCTCCTCCTGCAGCAGGTCAGCTTGCTTGATGGCCTTAAGCACACTCTTCCCAGAGGTGTCCTGGACATCTCCACCCATCAAAACCTCATCCAGGATGAAGGAGACCTTCTCAAAGTTGAAGATGATGTCCAGCTCACACGTGCTGCCAAAGTACTTGTCCAAGAGCTCGACATATCGGTGGATCAACTCCAGGGTGATCAGTTCATTGTCTTGACCTTCAATGGCACAGCAGAAGTAGAGACTGGCATATCTCTTACAGACAACTTTGAGGTCTCTCCACTCCAGGAAGCTGCACATCTTGGGCTTGTGAGCTAGAACAACCTGCATAAGCTCTCAAACCATCGTCTTCCACTCCTTGTCTGAGGTGGCCAGGTACCATTTTTGCAGCCGAAGCTTTCCCTGCCGGCTGAATAGTAGCATGAATCGCATCATCATGCAGCCTCCCGTTCCACGCGTCCCTCTTGAAGTGGACACTCTTAAGGTGAAATATTAGTTACTTTTTTCTCATTGACGTGACAAAACATCTGACAAAATCAACCTAAGAGAGGAAGCGTTTGGCTCAGTTTGAGAAGACAGTCCCCGAAGTGAGGAAAAACGTGGTGGCAGGGTCGTGAGACAGCTGATCGGTCACATTGCATCCGCAGGCCAGAAAGAGACAGGTGACTGTTGTTACACAGCTTACTTTCTCCTTTATATTCAGTCTGGGAGTTGGGCACACGGGATGGTGCCACCCACAGTTAGGGTGGGACTTCCCAACCCAACACAGTCTGGCAACTCCCACACAGACAAGCCCAGGGGTTTGTCTCCTAGGTAATTCTAGAACTTGTCAAGTTGAAAGATTAGACATCACAGATGTATTGACAGTTGATAGTGGTAAAAAAATGTATGTTGAGCGGAAAAAGGTTTAGCAGAACAAATTTACAAAGCTTGCTGAACCATAGGATGTTTAAAGCCTGTGGTTATTCACTCTGTTATTCATCAGCAGGCACTTGATGGGAAATTCATGAACACACCCTATTTTAGAACTAGTAACGTCAATCATGAACTGGAGCTGCCATCATGCTCTGGACCAGCACCGATTTTATTACTTTTTTCTTTCTTTCTTTTCTTTTTTTCTTTTTCTTTCTTTCTTTCTTTCTTTCTTTCTTTCTTTCTTTCTTTCTTTCTTTCTTTTTTTTTTCTGAGAACTAGAAGCTAAATGACTTGGTTTATTCTACCATCTAGCAATTTTATAGGTTAGCAGCAGTAAATTTCATTTTGTTTTTGGAGCTCAGAGATGGAGGAGTCCATATACACAGCTAAAGGCTACATAACAAGCAACAATGCCAGATAGGAGATACCTTCTTTTGAGTTGTTGGCCAGGGTGGCCCAAGGGACTCCCAGATAGTAACCCAGCATAGAACTGGGAAAATGAACAGCAGACCCCAATCTTATCTAAAGGAATATTGACAACTGATTGCTGCTAGATGAGGCTGACTAGATTCACCAGAAGGACAAGTAGTGGGGAACAGCTGGGGATGCCGACAACACAGCAGACAGTAGCAGGGGTGACAGAGCATAAGGGCTCTAGTGGGGGGGGGCTATGGAAGGGTGCCATCTGGGAAGTGGATGTATAGTTGAGTAAGATGGTTTGGGATGTTCTGTGTGACACACACACACGTGCGTGCGCACACACACAAAATCAACAAATTTTTTAAAATGTATTATATTTGAGGAGGAAGAATGGAAATTTACATCATGTTAATTAGTAGAGGTGATAAACAATACCATGAAATCTACCTGATGACTTTGTAGACATACATAGGCACCAAGGATCCAAGTGCAACCGATTATGACTAGTGATAATCAGATGCATACAGATTAGAGATGCATGTGCCAACATCTCAGTGTTAG